CCTTCTTCACCACACTGTCTGTGTGGATGGACCATTTCAGTTTGTCAGTGATTTGTACGCCGAGGAACTTAAAACTTTCCACCTTCTCTACTGCTGTCCCGTCGATGTGGATATGGGGGTGCACTCTCTGCTGTTTCCTGAAGTCCACGATCATCTCCTTTGTTTTGTTGACGTTGAGTGAGAGGTTATTTTCCTGACACCACTCTCCGAGAGCCCTCACCTCCTCCCTGAGGCTGTCTCATCGTTGTTGGTAATCAAGCCTACTACGGTCGTGTCATCTGCAAACTTGATGATTGAGTTGGAGGCGTGCATGGCTATGCAGTCATGGGTGAACAGGGAGTACAGGAGGGGGCTGAGCACACACTCTTGTGGGGCCCCAGTGTTGAGGATCAACGAAGTGGAGATGTTGTTTCCTACCTTCACCACCTGGGGGCGGCCCGTCAGGAAGTCCAGGACCCAATTGCACAGGTCGGGGTTGAGACCCAGGGCCTCAAGCTTAATGATGAGCTTGGAGGGTACTCCACGTTGGTTCAAAGTAATTTCATTGATTCAACCAGTGTGCCCAGTGGGATGTGTAACATTTTGCACAAAATACACAACAGCACGTCCCATTTCCCCCTCTTTCTTTCTCCCTCCTTCCCTTCCTCCTAGATAGCTCAGTCAATAATGACACATCTATCCACCCCTAGCTTCACCCCGTCCCATCCTCCATCTATTTCCTTTCAGATTGCAACAGTAACACTTGCAGATGCCCCTTCCCGTTGCCATGACACCCGTGTTTCCCGAAGGTGCTATGCGCATCAGCGTAAACATCCATGTGTACATTCTTTGTTTGCTTGGGGCTTAAATCCTGTACCACTCTGTTTGCATGTTTAATTTTGTTCTAGTACATTTTTGTCAAAGTGTTCTAGTATTCTTGAATATTAATTGTCATGTGTTTGTGCATCACTCAAAAATAGAACCTGTAGCATTCTTCACACCAACATGTGGTCCGTATTCCCCAGCTGTTTCAGTGTTATATTTCACAGCATGACACAGCAGCAAAGAGATGAGACTAAGAGAGAGGGAAGACATGTCTATTGTTGTTTTCAACTATGTTTGTTATGATCTGCGACACATACAACATGTTCATTTATGGATCTGGGCTCTCTTCAGAACGCATTTTAGGGTGCAAATGGGGCATCAAAACAAAGCAGGCGTGTGTGTGTGTGTGAGAGAGAGAGAAATACAGTGAGAGAGAGTACCCTTTGAGAGAGAGAAGGGGGGAGGGTATACATTGTGTTCATTTGGCTATACCTTTATTGGCATATTAGTGTGCATGTGCCTTTTACTGTGAGATTTAGTAGAAAATAAGCTCCAGTGTAGAAGTCTTGCTTCTTCAGTTGCATGTTGCAGATTTGGCTTCAGATTGGGGAAATCTATTTGTGAGTTAGCCATAGCCTTACCGCTGCCAAAAAAAGGATGATATGCAGGTGTTATGCGTAGGTTGCGTTTCTGATTCAGAGAGCCAGGCTTGTCTCCAGACATATGGACTCATACTACATGACACACATACATATTCAGTTTACTGAGTCTTGTATCCACCAGTTCAGTCCATTCATCTCACAAATGCATTCTCATAGATTACATGCAGTCTAAATATAGGCTGTCACATCATGACAGATCCTCAACTGACACAGCCCAAATGGACAGTATTTAATGCTCTCATTTGTCTTTGCAGTCCATGCCCAGTTATTTAATAAGCCCATCCAGACTCCCCTGTCTTGCTCACTTAGCTATCTCCACATCACCCTCTTTTTTCCTAACCCCCAGTAATTCATCACCATTTCCTCTATCCATTTCCCCATCTCTCCTTCCCTTCCAGCTAAGGTATTTTCTTATTTCTGGCCAGGTATAATGATCTGAAATCTTCTCTAATGTATAATTCATATCTTTCTCCAATGCCCCTCCCTGCTCTCTGACTCTCTTCCTTAGCTTGTGGAAATTACTTCCAAATATAGGTGATGGGTTCACTTCTAGAAACCGTAGAATTTTGTAAAGTGTTAATTAGCCTCTTTGCCAACTATACATCAATGGGCGTTACATACCACCAATTACTTGCACTATTCCCTGCATGCTTCGGAAAGTATTCAGACCCCTTGACTTTTTCCACATTTTGTTAGGTTACAGCCTTACTCTAAAATTGATTAAATTGTTTTTTTCCCTCATCAATCTACACACAATACCCCATAATGATGAAGCAAAAACTGGTTTTTAGAAATGTTTGCCAAATTATAAAATATTGAAATATTAAATTTACATAAGTATTCAGGCCCTTTACTCAGTACTTTGTTGAAGCACCTTTGGCAGCGATTACAGCCTCGAGACTTCTTGGGTATGATGCTACAAGCTTGGCACACCTGTATTTGGGGAGTTTCTCCCATTCTTCTCTGCAGATCCTCTCAAGCTCTGTCAGATTGGATGGAGAGCGTCGCTGCACAGCTATTTTCAGGTCTCTCCAGAGATGTTAGATCGGGTTCAAGTCCGGGCTCTGGCTGGGCCACTCAAGGACATTCAGAGACTTGTCCCGAAGCCACTCCTGCGTTGTCTTGGCTGTGTACTTAGGGTCGTTGTTCTGTTGGAAGGTGAACCTTCGCCCCAGTCTGAGGTCCTGAGTGCTCTGGAGCAGGTTTTCATCAAGGATCTCTCTGTACGTTGCGCCGTTCATTTTTCCCCTGATCCTGACTAGTCTCCCAGTCCGTGCCGTTCAAAAACATCCCCACAGCATGATGCTGCCACCACCATGCGTCACTGTAAGGATGGTGCAAGGTTTCCTCCAGACCTGATGCTTAGCATTCAGGCCAAAGCGTTCAATCTTGGTTTCATCAGACCAGAGAATCTTGTTTCTCATGGTCTGAGAGTCTTTAGGAGCCTTTTGGCAAACTCCAAGTGAGCCATCATGTGCCTTTTACTGAGGAGTCTGGCCACTCTACCATAAAGGCCTGATTGGTGGAGTGCTGCAGAGATGGTTGTCCTTCTGGAAGGTTCTCCCATCTCCACAGAGGAACTCTAGAGCTCTGTCAGAGTGACCATCGGGTTCTTGGTCACCTCCTTGACCAAGGCCCTTCTTCCCCGATTGCTCAGTTTGGCCGGGCGGCCAGCTCTAGGAAGAGTCTTGGTGGTTCCAAACTTCTTTAGTTTAAGAATGATGAGGCCACTATGTTCTTGGGGACCGTCAATGCTGCAGAAATTTTTTGGTTCCCTTCCCCAGATCTGTGCCTCGACACAATCCTGTCTTGGAGCTCTACGGACAATTGCTTCGACCTCATGGCTTGGTTGTTGCTCTGACATGCACTGCCAACTGTGGGACCGTATATCGACAGGTGTGTGCCTTTCCAAATCATGTCCAATCAATTGAATTTACCACAGGTGGACTCCAATCAAGTTGTAGAAACATCTCAAGGATGATCAATGGAAACAGGATGCACCTGAGCTCAATTTCGAGTCTCATAGCAAAGGTTCTGAATACTAATGTTAATAAGGTATTTCTGTTTTTTATTGTTAACAAATGTGCAGACATTTCTGAAAACCTGTTTTCGCTTTGTCATTGTGGGGTATTGTGTGTAGATTGCTGAGGATTTGTATTTATTTAATTCATTTTAAAATAAATCTATAACGTAACAAAATGTGGAAAAAGTAATAGGGGTCTGAATACTTTCCGAAGGCACTGTATGTCTGAGTCCTAACATTGCTTGATGTCTTGCTTACACTTTATAAGGAGGTGAGTACAGTATATGCACCAAGTAGACATCCTAGTACATAAACGAACAGAGTATTTTTAATTTGTTCTGGGTATTATTGTGTGTGTGTGTGTGTGTGTGTGTGTGTGTGTGTGAGAGAGAGAGAGAGAGAGAGTGAGGCAGAACAGCCCATGGATGGAGTATTCGGGAGGGAGAGTGTGTGTCTGCTTGTGCATATGCCAATCACGTACTTTGTTTCAAACATATTAATTGTAACCAGTTTCCATGGAAACATCTCTCCGGAGGCAGAGAGGAGGGAGAGAGTGCAGTGACAGAGTTGAAAAAATGATTATTGCGGAGGGGCAAAAAAGGAAGAGCCCTAGAATGAATTAAAGATTTGGTATGAACTCTCAAGTATCTGAGAGAGGGGGGGAGGAAGAGAGTGCATTTATGTGCATGTTTACATACAGATGTGTTGTGTATATAATATAACGTGTGTGTGTGTGAGTGATGTAGAGAGATGGTTTGCTGTGTGTCCGAGTATAATAAGGATACGCTTTGATAATCTATTTGCTATATCATGCATATACCTCTACTTCTACCATTCCACTTAAGTGTTCTACGTATTTCCATAGTGCATTTCTTCTCCAAGCTTTAGCACACACTTAGCAGAGTTTTGAGTAAGAGCAATAGAGTGAGGCAGAGATAGATTCCTACTGACTCACCCTAACTCAAGTTGGTTGCCATGGTGACACCGGGAACGAGATGCAGTCTATGTCAGGTTGTCTGTCTCTACCGCTCCCCTCTCCAACTCTCCCTCACCCACTCTGCCCCCACCCCCTCCACCCCCCATAATTAACACACTCACTTCCTCCATCATACTTGCTCTCTTGTAGATGTAAAATCCTAAGCTGTTGTTTATTGTATTCTTCTCATGGTGTATGCCCTGCACTCTACGTTCCCTCCAGTCCATAGCAGACTGAATTTCTTGGGATAGAGACATAACAAAGGTATGGCCTTCAGAATTCAAACCTGTGTAACTTTTAACTATACCCAACGTATTGGCTGCTTCCGCTGCACTATACTTTACCTTTCCCTTCTTCCAATGTTCTCTTGATTACCTGTTACTTACAGCTGAGACAAAATCAAACATGCATTGAATTTCCATCATTTGCATTTTTAACTATGAACAGCCAGTGCACCACTACTGGACCCCCCAAATCAAATGATTAACAATATATATATATATGAACATAATTGTTGTACCATATAATATTGTAACACATTGCTATTTTATTAGAATATGTGAATTGCTGTTTCTGTACTGTATATCATATTGTATTCTAATGAATACAAACTAACGCACCAACAAATATAGCATACAGTGATGAGAGATGTCTAGAAGACAGTATCAAATAGTTATTCTTCAATATATATTCATTCATTCATTCTGGTAAACTGCATTATGACATTCATTGATGGTCAACCTAGCCTATATTTCCCCTCCTCTGTGACCCCCCGTTTTGTGCTTTAGCGATTGTCTGTGATTGACTAACAATGTTGTCAGGGTTGAGGGGTTGTTGTCCTGTTTAGGAGGGAACTGTCATGATGAACAAACATACTGTATGTGTTTTGGCACAAGAAACCTAGCTGAACAATATTGACACATTACTCCATTATAATGCAGGGCGCTATGTGTGTTCAGATGTCAACATGAACCCTATCAGACTTGTCGTAAACAATTAATTACTACAATTATGGTGAGTTTATGGTAAACAAATTATCACACAGTATTTTTAAAGTTCCAGTATTACCCATTTCTCTAATAATTTTAAAATCACACAGTTAGATCATTATCAATGATCTACACATAGAGCTATGGATACATGATGATGAGGGCAGCACTAGCTAAGTCACGGCTTTGAAATGAACCAAGAGTCAAGTGTCTGCCAACATTCACTGTAACACTTGGGTGAGAACAGTTATGTAAGTCCCACCATACTGTTCAATGTGAGACGGTTTACTGCGCTTGACATAGTCATCATAGCAAACCTATCTATCAACATCATCTTCAGCAGCCTCGTCTGCTACTTGTGTCACACACAGTATTATTCCACAGAGGAAATACGATCCCATGTACAGTAATCTCTCCTAGACTATGATCACATTGCTGTTGTTGTGAATTTAAATTGCTTTTCTTGAATGAGTTTTCTATGATCTAGAATCACGGAGCACAGAGCTCTTTGGAAAGTCTAGGTGAAATCAGCCCTTCCAGCCTAGAACAGAACAGACAAACACAGAATACTTAAACACCCAAGTACCAATTCACCCAGAGCCAAAACATCCCCTTCAAGCCGGAATAATTTTCAGTTGGAATGAAATGCGCCTGTTTTCCCTGGGCAGAGACTGGGGTCTGAAAGATACTGCCTTGACTGGGATGGACCTAGACTAAAACACTGCTCCAGGGTATCCGCGATCCTTCGCAGAAGCTTATGCCCATCGCAAGTAATTTATGAGTTCATACATTTTATATTTGTGAATAACACAATTACTATCACTCTGGTTCGAAATAGTAGAATTGAATGGTGTATTTATCTGACTAAACAACTAACTATTCATATCCTCAGAAAATTATCTACCACAACTACTGAATTATCGAAATACCAAATCGGTAGAAGAACTAAATACGTGTTGTGCATTTTGTCGTTTCCTTTCTAAAAAGGTTTATTGGAATGGAAGGATATTGACGTATGAATCTGCAACATCTATGTTAGGACTTAGGCAACACAAAGTTTATAAATTCACAGTTGAGTGACTGTATCACCAAGAATAGGAGACCTGCAGGTCCTAAGAGGTGATGTGCTCAGATCAAGGCAACACGTACACTTCCTCCTCTTTTGTGGCTCCTATATGTCTGCTCCTCCTCTTCTATATGGATGGCAGTCTTGAACAGGCTCAACAACATCTCTTTGCTTTGCCTTATTTCCTCACAATGTCTTCCAAAGATTTGAGGAGAGCAACACATGGTCTGTGATGGAGTAATGGGTGGTGAGAAAGAGGGTTGAGTGACATCACCCAGTCTTAGTCTTGCTCTTTCTCTTTTTCTGTCTTTCAATCTCCTCTTTGTCTTCTATTCAGTGTTTAGAAACTCACCAAGGCATAGACCATACTGTCAAGGACAGAGAGAGGCAGAAAACAGAAGAGAAGGACAACGGTGTTAGAAGGAATGGGATATTGCCAAGCAATAACAACTGACAGCAGTTATTGTGCAGCAAGAAGAGGAGGCTCCCATTCATACAGATCAACATTCACCAATGAAGCGGCTTGACTGATGAGAGATGGCTTCATTAATAGGACCTCACCTGTACAGGTAGTAGAAGAAGGAGAGCAGGTAGAAGCCCATCTTACACCAAGACTCCTTCTGACAGTAGTTCAGGATGTCAGCATTCATCACACTGACAGGATCATACATGACCTCTGACCCGTCTGCTGGCCGATGGAAAAACCTGACGAGAGAGCGCATTCTTACAACAGATACAACTAAAAAGCATCATGTGATAGAGTGCTGGGAGTTGTTGTGTCGTGTTGTGTTGTGAACCTCCAGAGATGGTAGAAGAGCAGGGGGATGTTTAGGCCCAGGGTGACCCACTCTCCAGCACACATGAACATCAGGCAGAACAGCCCATGGATGGAGTATTCTGGCACCACCAGCTAGGAATAATAAAGACCGTTAGGGTGCACATGGCCATACAAATGCAAACTCTGTCATTATCATAAACACTTCAGGACAAAATGCTTTGAAAAAGCTGCAATTTTCATATGAATGGAAGTGGTAGAGTTTAGTTATGATTTTCGTAAAAGCATGCAGGCCTGCAGGTGTTCCCTCCTTCAATCTTCCCTCATTGGCTCTACAGCTTGTCCATTAACACTGGAACGTAAGCTAGGCTAGGTGTTAGGGTTAGGGGTTAGGGTTAAGGTTAAGTTTAGGAGTTAGGTTAAAGGGGAAGGTTAGGGGAAGGGGAAGGGTTAGCTAAAAAGGTTAAAGTTGGGTTATGGTTAGGTGAAGGGTTAGCTAACAAGCTAAGTAATTGCAAAGTAGCTAAAAAGTAGTAAGTAGTTAAAAAGTTGCTAATTAGCTAAAATACTACAGTTGGTTTCCATGTGTTTGAGGCCATTCCATTTGCTCCATTCCAGCTATTATTATGAGCCGTCTTCCCCTCAGCAGCCTCCACTGTCATGATGAGATTTGAACTCGCAATTTTTGGGTTGTTAGACGTTCGGGTTCCTTAGTGCTAGACGTTCGCGTTATACGTTCACGTTATAAGTAACCATCTGTCTTATGTAACCATACCCAGTGTTGTAAAGTACTTAAGTAAAAATACGTTAAAGTACTACTTAAGTAGTTTCTTTGGGTATCTGTACTTTACTTTACTATTTATATTTTTAACTACTTTTTACTTCACTATATTCCTAAAGAAAATATTGTACTTTTTACTTCATACATTTTCCCTGACAACAAAAATTACTTGTTACATTTTGAATGCTTAGCAGGACAGGAAATTGTCAAATTCAAGCACATATCAAGAGAACACGTGGTCATCCCTACGGTCTCTGGCCTGGAGGACTCACTAAACACAAATGCATCTTTTGTAAATAATGTCTGAGTGTGGGAGTGTGCCTCTGGCTATCCATACATTTTAAAAACAAGAAAATGGTGCTGTCTGCTTTGCTTAATATAAGGCATTTTAAATGATTTCTACTTTTACTTTCGATACTTAAGTATATTTTAGCAATTACATTTACTTTTGATACTTAAGTATATTTAAAACCAAATACTTTTAGACTTTTACTCAAGTAGTATTTTACCGGCTGACTTTCTATTAAGGTATCTATACACCACTGACCATGCCAAATGCAACATATCATACTAATTTGAGTGTCCCGGATTTACATTTACTATGTTACGTCTAGTCTATGAGACCAGGCTGGTGTGTGTGTGTGTGTGTGTGGGTGTGAGAGAGAGTGAGCGAGAGGAGAGAATGAGGAGGTGGGCTACGGGAAGGAGGGGAAGATGTGCGTGCGTGCATCGGCTGGGAGCCACTCATTCACCTTCCGCAGCAAGTTGCAGATTCTTTCAATATTCAGAATTCTTTCCCTCTGAAAAGTGAATAGAGAAAGGAGAGTCATATATCTAGATAATAGTTTTGCCAAACACCCTCACAAAAGTAATATTCACACTTCCTTCGTTTTGGCTCTGTTTGAGAATGTTCTTGTGTACAGTATAGCAAAATATAATTGGCAAAATAGAAGGTACGTTACATTGAGTAAATGCTTTAGATCAAACATGATAAATAAAGCATTCAAAATAAACACACATTTTCTATTTGAATAAGTGTCCATGGTCTATGTGTGCCTGTCTGTCTACAGTGCTCTGCTCTTCACAGCTGAGTGGCAGCGACTGTAGGTGGACACTGGGTCACACTTCACAGAACTCCACTCCCTCTCATAAGGCAGGGGGCCTTACCGCTCTGGTGGGGTTGCTCTGATCGATTGGGTTCTTGAAGTCTGTGCGCAGCTCGTCAAACGCAATAATCTAAAAAGACATGTACAGTGTATATGGGTAAACTTTCTGCCACTGGATATATCTAAATGTTGAATGTAATGGTGTGTTCTTTCACTGTGTTATTCTCATTCAATCCAATCACATCCCTTTTAGCCTATTTTTTTTCTCAATATTTCTAATCGTCTTCAGTTTTCCATCCCCATACCTCCAATCATCCTTTTGCACCTTTCGCATACTCTGACTCTTTCTCGCTCTCTCTCTCTCTGAGATCTCCATCTAAGCATCCCTCTCCGCCTCTCAACATTCTTCTCTCCCTGTGACATCCATCTTTCCCTTTCAGAGACCAATCTCCCTCTCCACATCTGTCTTTTACTCTCAACAATACCTTTCTCTTTCCCCCTTATCGATCTATGTCACTCCCCCTTCTCCGTTTCATGCTCTTCTCTGTTGTAAACAGATGCAGTTTCCATGGTGATCCGATGAGCCCCTTAGCAAGCACCATGGTTACTATAAAAATGAACAAGCCGTGTCATTGGTTGAGAGCCACACAGAGATGGGGGGCGCGAACCATGGATGGAGGCAGATGGGGGGGAAGGGGTGGAACAAAATTATAATTTGATAAGCAGTCTCAATAACATGGTTCGTTGCTGACACATACACACACACTCTCTCCCCCTTTTCACCTTCTCTTCACTCACACACACACACACACTCACTCACACACACACACACACACACACACACACACAGACACAAACACACTCAGACTCTTTCCCTCCCCCATCTCTCTCACAAACACAGACACATACTCACACATTGACTGACTCACATGCAGTGCAGTCTCACCCACTAGTCAATTCATTAGTTCTTTCAAGACAGTCTATTGTAATGGTCTGAAAATGCTGTGTTGAATTTCAAATGAACAATGTCTCCATCTAGGGAGGTAAGCAACCCTGGCCCTGGAGAGACGCTAGCACTTCATGTTTTTGATTTAACCAACCTGGAAGACCAGGTGTGTTGAATTTAGGCAATCACTGAACTGATCAATTAGCTCAGTTGGTCAGATGGGGTGCCTTGTAGGGACAAAATCCTGCAGTACCTACGCCACTCCAGGAACAGGGTTGCATATCCCTGCCCTAGACAGAAGGCTATAGCTGAGAGAGATGGGCTCTGGCTATTGTAGCATACTGATTGTGCAGAGGTCTCCAGTGATGCCTATACAAATTCCATTCATCATTCTGCAGTCAGTAAGCTGGTACACAAATATACAGGTAACTGCCAAAATAAAGGAAACACTTGAGTAAATGAGGGATACAAAGTATATTGAAAGCAGGTGCTTCCACAAAGGTGTGGTTCCTGATTTTTTTTTTTAAATGCCCAGTGTATAAAAATGCCCAGTTGCCCATTATTTTGGCTACCATGGCTAGAAGAGATCTCAGTGACTTTGAAAGAGTGGTCTCACAAGACCATAGGGGGTTTAAAGGTTGTGTGTGTGTGTGTGTGTGTGTGTGTGTGTGTGTGTGTGTGTGTGTGTGTGTGTGTGTGTGTGTGTGTGTGTGTGTGTGTGTGTGTGTGTGTGTCACCAGATCTCAACTCAATTGAACACTTATGGGAGTTTCTGGAGCGGAGCCTGAGACAGCGTTTTCCACCAGCATTAACAGAACACTTGTAGAATCTATGACAAGGCGCATTGAAGTTGTTCTGGTGCCCGTGGTGGCCCAACGCCCTATTAAGACACTTTATGACTAGCTTTGACTAGCTCATTTTAATAATAGACTTCCAGTTTTGGGTGTCACACACACACACACGCACACACACACACAGAGACTTACAGTACTGATATAAATAACACAAATAATGAGCCACACATGGGCACTTGGACACACATTCACACCAACCAATGGCTACACTACACTTATTGTATTGTCTCATACTACTATTAGTCATCACCTGGAATTATAGGTATTTCTTAGAGTATTTCGCCTTGGTTACAGACCAACCAATTCTTTATATAAGGTATGAGTCACAATGCACACGAGAATATTGCTGAACCACCATCCCCCAGAGTCTAAAAACATGGTTTAGGTGAGAACCACCATCCCCCAGAGTCTATAAACATGGTTTAGGTGAGGACCACCATCCCCCAGAGTCTAAAAACATGGTTTAGGTGAGAACCACCATCACCTAGAGTCTAAAAACATGGCTTAGGTGAATACCACCATCACATAGAGTCTAAAAACATGGTTTAGGTGAGTGAGTGTGTATGAGCTCAACTCACCTGCCAGATGACGAAGAAGATGAGTGCAGCACACAGCACTAAGGTGAGCATGTAGCAGAAGGCCGCGAAGGTGAACGCCATGGCTGCACCAGCCAGCCTGACGATGAGATGGGTCGAGAGAGGGGGAACTTTCCCCTCCTCTCTCTCTCTATTGCTGACTATCCCTCCTTTTTCTCAGGAGGTTATTGTCTGTTCTTCCTCTCCCTCCCCCTGACACTCTGACTTCCCTCCCTCTCACGTTGTATTGAGAGCCCGTATTGTCCAGGTGAGGAGCTGAAGTTCTGGAAGAAAAAATTCCTGCTCCACTCTCCAGTCTATCACCTGTGGTCACTCTACTTCTGCTTATCTAGGTTGCACAGTTGGTCCTTCTTCTTGAGTTCCACTTCCCTTTTCATGTGTCTGTGCAAAAGCTTTTCTCCTTCACTGTGCAAAAGCTTGTCACACATAGACTTTGTAAAGCGGTCGACAGGCACAGTTGTTCAGGGAGAACAGCTAAAGCTGAATAATGCTCTCTCCTCTCGTCCCAGCTTCTGATTCTGACAGCCAGGGGTTTTTGTGCACTTACGGTGTCTGTCCCCTGTCCCTTTTATAATGTCCACTTTGCCACTGAAGATGGCACATATTTCAAGAACAATATAATTGTTACTAAACATCTGTAATAGGAAAAATGTTGGTAAATGGTATTAGATATTATTCAAAAGAGATGTTTTGGTATATTCTGATATTTCAATGTTTTTAAACAGAGCAGATATGCTGTTAAGGAGGAGAGGACTGTTTATACTTTTGGAGGCATAAAATAATTTTCCACTAATGTAAAGAGGAAGGAATTTGCTTTTCATCCAATAACAGCAATTCATACATGTGCCCTATGAACAAATATTATTACAATGATAGTTATTAGTGATCATTTATAATAACAAAATTAGCAAAGATTATTAGCTTACAATAATAGCTTGAAATTATTTGATAAATGGTGTTGTAATGTATAGAGTAGAATATAAACAAACAGCAATATGATAGAATACTTAGGTACTCCACACTGAAGTCTAGAAGCAATAAAGGCTGATGAATGATGTATCAGGATATATATAATCTGTGATGATGATGATGGATATTTTGATTGATCTTAATATTGATCAGAGTGTACCTGTGTCTGGTGGTAGATGTGTCTGTCACTGAATATCCCACTCCTTCCTCTCCACACTTTGTCTCTGTCAATATGGGTCGACACCATGTCAGAATTCTCTGTCTTGCCTTTGTCCATCCATCTCAGTCGCGTCCATCAGATTTCTTCACGCATATGCTTTTCAGTGCTCACTTGCAGGGTGAAAAAACAACATTTAGAGAATCAACAATGTTTAGATGTTAAGACGTTTTATGTTCTTATTTTGGTACGATTATTTTTCTCAAGAAAGGAAAAACATCTCCACAGCCCTTAGAAGTCTCTAAGTTAATTAATTCCCCTCCCTCCTCTTTCGCTTCTCTCTCTCCAAAACCCCCCCTTATGCTTTCTCTTCTCTTCCTCTAAAAAAACGATTTTGAAGAAACCCTCTCCCTCATCTTTTGTCCTCCACAGTCTCTTCTTCTTCTCTCTCTCTCTCAGACTGTCTGTCTGATAAAGCAATATTTGTATCTCCCTAGAATATAATGGCCAAGTTCATTCAACAGTCTCACTCTCTCTAGGTCTCTCTCTCTCTCTCTTGGTCCCTCTCTCCCTGGCTTGTATCCGTTGCCGTATTCCCTTGTTCCCCAGAGATGGATGAGGGGGCAGGGGAAGCTTTTAATATTTTTTTTGTCAGCTTCCCTTGTTTGTCTCCATCTATCCCCCCCTCTGCTCCCTTTCTCTCCCTCTGTCTCTCTCTCTCTCTCTTTCTCTCTCTTTATGTCTCCTTCTCTCTCTCTTGCTCTCTCTCGCTCTCTCTGTCTCTCCCTCCTTCTTCCCCTTTTGTCATGACGCTGGTGTCCTATTCTTCCGTCATTTCGAGAAAGACTCTCACTCTTTTCTTGTAATCATGGGATTCTTTCTCTTACTTTCTTTCCCTCCCTTCTCTGTTCTCTCCAAGCTACCTCTCTCTTTCTGTGGTCCTGCAGTTTTCACGCTCATCCCTTTCTCCCCTGCTATTGTCAGTCTCTCTGGCCCTCTTCTCTTGGGAGGATTTCCACAACTTTTTAATTCCCACAAATCTTTGGCTTTTTATTTTAAAGTGCCCATGCTGTTTCCCCCTAATCCCCATCCCTGTCCCATCTTTTATCACCCACTAAATCCGTCCCAATAGCTAATCTCTGGTAAATCCCCCAGGGTGACCTGGAGACTCATTTTCTCTCCTCTGACTGATTAGCCACCTTCTCCTCTGCCTGTCCCCTACTCTACCTCAATGATTACAAATGTGAAAATGTGAAAAACTCATACAACAAGGGAATGAAACAAAAACACCTTTTGAAAATGAAGTAATTGAATCTTTCTTAATGTAGAAACAACAACCAAATTAATTTGTTCTTTGTTGGTGTCTTGTGGGTTTTGTACAGCCCTAATCTATCAGTCTGACTGATACTGTATGTTATTTGTGCGCAATAATGGCTGTGGATTTTGGATATCTTGGACTGATATAAAATGTAAAGCTCAAGAGCACCATCTGCTGCATATTTTATATAAGAAAATCTAGGTCGGAACAGAAGTTTGGTGAGTAGTATATCCCTACGGACGACATTTTGGACACGCCATAACGTGTTAGAACATTTGTTGTTGTTTTCTTGACAATCTTTTCGGTCTTGTTCATGGCAGACAAAAGTCAACTTTGTTCAGTATGGGTGGGATCAGAAACAGGGATATTGAAAGGTAAAAATTATGTAACTCAGTAAATTTAGCCATGCTGTCCTTGTGTTGTGTGTTATTTGTTAGAGCTAGCTATCTAGCAACCCACGTGTTTGCTTGCTACCTAGCTTGACAGTACTTTTCCCTAATGCGACACAGATTGTTTTAGGAACGATGGCCATGCACGCTATCAGGATATTTAAATGGATATCACTTACACTTTGTGTCTGTTAGGTGTGAGCCTATCCAAAAAACAGGCATTCAACTTCTGTGAGATGAGCTGCTTGAGTCGGGACCAGGAAGTGTGTGTACTGGGCTGGGGAGATCCACAGGAGACTGAGGTGTGTGTGTGGGGGCTCTAGGGAGTAATGTATCTCTTGATGATGTCTGATCTCTGTTGGTCGTTGATGTGTTTAGAGTGCACATAGGTCTGAATGTTTGCATCATGGTTGTTGTGCCGTTGTGTTATTTACCTGTCTTGTCTGTTCTAGGTGCTGGTGGGGTCTGTGAATGGCACAGTGAAGACGTTCAGCACAGAGAAGGGCATCTTCACTGAGACCAGACAGTGTGGGGAGAGCACCCATGGCAGGTTCACAGGACTCGCTGTCACAGACCGGTATAGTTGTGTAGATAAAGACACGGTCATAACACAGTACAGGAGTTGTTGTTCATGCACACTGTCATTACACACCAGCAGCTCCGTGGTCATGTGTTGAGGATACTAATGTTGACACTGGACGACTCTCCCTGTGTGTCTCTGCAGTGCTCTGATCACGTGTGTGGAGACAGGACTGCTGAGGGTCTGGAAGGAGGGAAGCACAGACACAGTGAGTGACTTTGCCAGAATACCACATAGGCTTCCTAGAGGTTGTTACATTGCAGATGGATACTATATACTTATGAATGATTGAAGTTGACTGTCTGCTTTTTTGTGCACTGCCATTTTCTTGAACATAACCCCTGTCCCTATGTCTAGGTTGAAATAAATGCTGGGAAGAATGTTTGTCGGATGCGACAGAATCCCTCGCAGCGCAATCAAGTGGCTACAGGAGGGAAGGAGAACGGCCTGAAGGTCTGGGATCTGGAGAGACCTGAAACACCTATCTTCACCTCCAAGAATGTAAGAGTCTAACAACTACATTTCAAGGATTTACAGTGGGAATGTCTACATAGTATGTTATGTTTTGGTGTTTGTGCATTGAAACAGTGCCATGCTTTTTTATGCTGCAGGTGCGTAATGACTGGCTGGACCTGCGAGTCCCAGAGTGGGTCAGAGACATGGCCTTCATCCCAGACTCAGACAAGATAATCACCTGCACAGGTCACCACCAGGTCTGTCTGTCTTGCCCTGTACAAGCCCTGTTCTTAGACTGGGTCTGCTGGTCTTCTAAGCCACTGAGTCAGACTTGGAGCACAGTACTCAAAGGATACATTCAGCAGCAGTTTGACGCATTTTGTTAGATATGCAACCAGGCCAGCGCAGTACATTTTGGCATACTGGGTTTGGCTCAGCTCAGTAGTGTGAAAAGGGACTCTTACATTTTGGGGGGCTGAAACTGTCCTGTAAGGGTAAATTCATATTATACAATGGGTGGTTCTAATCCTGAATGCTGATTGGTTAAAACCGCATTCCAGCTGGTGTCTATTCCACAAGTTAACACCGGCTAAATCTATGATGTTAAAATGCCTATTTACTCTGTTCCATCTCACTGCGCAATCCACTGTCTCATCAGCCCAGCCAGGCAACTTTAAACACTTGATCTCCACTATAAGAAGCATCTAGACATTATCTCACATTTATTTTAGACTAACATTTAGGTTTCAATAGCGGAGATTTGTATAAACCTTGCTGTCTGTCTCTCTGACATTTGCAACATTGTTTCAATATTCAAATTCGATCTCCAGCTGTCCCATAGTAAGGAAAGTGTAGGGGTCGGAGGTCGGGACGAGACAGACAGGCAGGCAGCGTTTCTCAGCCAATCGAAATCATGAATCAGCTGGCATCATTTTTCTGGATGTATACAAAGAATTGTCAATTGAAAAAAGGTCAAACGAAAAGGAAGTGCAGCTAGTTTGCAGTCTTTACAGCTTCCTTTTGAAGTGATTGTGTTACTGTAGCTGTGTTGTTGGCTATATTCTCTGAACAACAGTGTCCTGATGAGAGCACATTTGCTATGCCAGGCGAAATCGCGCCTCATTAGCTCATTGTTATGGATGTGTCCAAATAAATGTCACAAAACAGCTTGTAAATGCAGCTACTGTTGTTATTCAGGCTGCACTGTTTGACGTGACTGTAAGTTAGCCGTAGTTGGCTAGCTAGCAAGCAAGGGATAAGAACGTTGCCAGCCAGTACAGAAATGGAACATTTAGAACGAATGAATAGGTCGGGTCCATAGATACAAAACAAAAAGACTGACCAACTGGGTCGCGTCTCTGGGAACCGAACCGACAGAACGAACGACCAGCCGGCTTGGGTAGCAACCCTAGATTCGGGACTATATCTTGTGGAAGGATGAAATAGTATGAATAAATTCATCAAAGTAATGTTTTTAATGAAAATATGTCAATCATAATTTTTGTATGTTGGTAACCCGTTGTATAAAAGTGATAATGCCCCTGAAGCCGGTGTTTGGAGGATATATTGGCACGGTTTGGCTCGACTTCGTCTCAGGCCTATCAACACCCGTGCCAATATATCCTCCAAACACCGGCTTCTCAGGCATTATCACTTAATTGGTCAAGTTCAAGTACCCTGATGTATGGTTTGTATCATTGCTACATAAGCAAACCATTAAACATCTTAACTTGACTCATGTCTCTTTGCCTCATTCATCTATCTAATGATATAACAAAAGCAACCCGATTTGATTTTTTTTTTTCTCTGTTAGGTGCGAGTGTATGATCCAGCCTCTCCCCAGAGGCGTCCTGTTCTAGAGGCTCAGTTTGGGGAGTACCCCCTCACAGCCCTCTCCCTCCCTGCCAGCCAAGACAGTGTTGTAGTGGGCAACACACATGGCCAACTCGCCATCTTAGATCTGCGGAAAGGTGAATGAGGGAGTCGATGTCTGTTTCTGCTTGTTGAAATTATTGTGCAGTTGCTTAGCGATCTGCTTCAGTACTTTTCCATGTCAGCTTCTTTATCTTTTTGTCCATGTATGTATTTGCCATTGTGCTACATTATAGATTAATTTGCTGTATGTGCTCTTTGAAACGTCTGTTTATTAAAATGAAAACTTAATTGTTTTGCCTGTAGCAGCAATAATTATCTTCTGATAGTCAGAGAGAGAGGGAGATCAAGCTTTTTGTGTGTGCGAGTGCATGTTGCGTGCCTTTGTGTTCTATCTGTGAGATCCTCTCCCCCTCGACTACAGTCTCTTTGTTGTCTAACCTCGCCTCCTCTTGTCCTCTTCATTCGCTGCAGGCCTAGTGCGTGGGTGTTTAAAGGGGCTGGCAGGAGGGGTGCGGGGGCTTCAGTGCCACCCCTCTCTCCCTCTAGTGGCTTCTTGTGGTTTGGATCGCTTTCTGAGGGTACACAGCCTGGAGGACCGCACTCTACAGCACAAGGTACACACCACACACACTCACTCTTACACTCTCCACACACTTGAAGCCAGCTACACAAACCATCATTAGGGAAGCCTCCTACACAGTTTTTAGTAATTGTGTTCAGTGAAAGTTCAAGAGGTTCTCTCTCGCTTCGTCTCCCTTTCAGGTGTATCTGAAGTCACGACTCAACTGTGTGCTTCTGTCCAGCAGAGATCTCGAGGTAGGGGTGAATTAAGTGCTATGAATCAGCCTGTTTCAGACATTGTGAAGTGCAATACTTTGTCATCTATTTGACTTTCAAATTGAGACTTGCTAGTTTTTTTACCAACACTAATTAATGTTGTGATATGAGTTTTCATAACACCCTGTATGACACCTGACATGCATATTTACTTATTTATTACACTATGATACAGTAGTTGATTTAAATTGACATAACAAGAATGTCAAACAAGAATGTTAACTGTCATTTGCTGTTTAATATTTTTGAAACAGTGATTTTCCTGCATTATGCTGCAGAATGATGGTGTAGTATGTTTACAGTATCTCTCCTCTATTTCAGCTGAGCAGTACAGGAGTGACCGGAGATGTGGAGGAAGTGAAAGAAGAGGGAGGAGAACTGGATGAGGTGTGGGACACTATGGAGATGATAAAAGAGAAGGCGAAGAAAAGAGCAACAGAAGAAGAAGAAGCTGTTGTTGAAGAAGCAGAGAAGAAGACTAAGAAGAAAATAAAAGTGGTCAAATGACCAGCAGTGGAGAGCTTAAGGAAAGGACTGTTCTCTTTATGAGAAACGCAGAAGGTCTAGAGGTCTGCTAAAGCCAGTGTTGTGGATGTACTGACTGTTTTCCTGTTGAATCAGTACTGGAAATGGAATAGCCATAGTTTCCCATTAAAACTATGACCTCTCTGGAGTTGTGTGCATGTCCTTTTGTACCAACTTCCTTGAAATGTAGCTAACATTAAAAATCATTACGTACAGATTGATATTCTTTTGGCAACAACTCACAAAAAGAAACATTGAATTGACAATATCCCAGGGCTAAAACAATTTCGCATATGAACTCTGAACATGACTGTGTGTGTCTGTGAAAGAATGCAATGTCCCTAATAAACAGACAGGTGGCATCTGGCACCATTGGTTGGCTTGCTTGTGTTTTTGTGTCCTCTGCTGGAATGGAGTAGAGGGTACTGATTATGAAAATCGCTCAACAGGATGGGTGTCTTTCAAGTTGTGTAGTTAGCACGGACTTGTTTTATATGCGTTTGTCAGTTTGAGTAAATGTCTCTGTTCATTATTGTGATTTCAGGAACAGTGTTGTGTTTTGTGGAAATTGATGTTTGTAAACCCTGGGCATAAGTGACCGGCTTAGGGCTGCTAGGGGGCCCCCGACCCCAAAAAAAACAGTAGCTGCGGATCTGACTTTTCTGGACCTTTCTTCCTGACAGCTAAAGGTCCCGAAGCAGGCTACTCTGCTGAATGGTGCTTGTCTACAGGCAGTTAGATTTGGGTATGTAATTTTAGGCGAAAATTGAAAAAAAGGATACGATCCTTAAGAGGTTAATAAAGTTAGATCAAAGCTGAATCAATGTCTGCAAGATCACATAATGATAGTATTCTACATACAGAACCAAATATAATAACATAGTATAATGTTACTGTAAGACAAAAAAAAACATTTCTTGAGGTTTTAGGATGATTGTGCAAATGGTCACATTTTTCTCAACAGCATGCCACTAGGAAAAATGTGCTTTGATTGAAACAAAACACAGCAAAACAAATTGCTTTCTGTAGCCTGCATAAGTCGAAACAACGCTGTACATAACTAAGCTCTAAATGGTCACATTTTTATCAACAGCATGCCACTAGGAAAAATATGTGCTTGATTGAAACAAAGCACAGCAAAAAAAAAAACTCACTGTAGCCTGCATAAGTCGAAACAACACTGTACATAACTAAGATCTAAATGCATATTCCCATGTAACTGATTAAGATCAAATGGTTGGCATGCAGATGCCGCATGGATGTTTCACAGATAAAACTTCACGATTGACAGTGAGAAATGTGAAGGGAGCGTGACCACCAAAATGTGTGCGTGAAGAAACGTGAGATCCGCAGCCAAGGCCAAAAAATAAATAATCTACACTGAACAAAAATATAAACGCAACATGTAAAGTGTTGATCCCATGTTTCATGAGCTGAAATAAAAGATCCCAGACATTTTCCATATGCACAAAAGGCTTATTTCTCTCAAATTGTGTGCACAAATTTGTTTATATCCCTGTTAGTGAGCATTTCTTCTTTGCCAAGATAATCCATCCACCTGACAGGTGTGGCATATCAAGAAGCTGATTAAACAGCATGATCATTACACAGGTGTACCTTGTGCTGGGGACAATAAAAGGGCACTTTAAAATGTGCAGTTTTGTCACACAATACAATGCCACAGATGTCTGAAGTACTGAGGGAGCTTGCAATTGGCATGCTGACTGCAGGAATGTCCACCAGCGCTGTTGCCAGATAATTGAATGTTAATTTCTCTACCATAAGCCGCCTCCAATGACGTTTTAGAGAATTTGGCAGTATGTCCAAACGGCCTCACAACCGCAGACCACGTGTAACCACGCCAGCCTAGGACCTCCACATCTGGCTTCTTCACCTGCGGGATCGTCTGAGACCAATCACCCGGACAGCTGATGAAACTGAGGATAATTTCTGTCTGTAATAAAGCCCTTTTGTGGGGAAAAACTTATTCTGATTGTCTGGGCCTGGTTCCGCAGTAGGTGGGCCTATGCCCTCACAGGCCCACCCATGGCTGCGACCATGCCCAGTCATGTCAAATCCATAGATTAGGGCCACATTTATTTATTTCAATTGACTGATTTCCTTATATGAACTGAAACTCAGTAAAATCTTCAAAACTGTTGCATGTTGCGTTTATATTTTTGTTCAGGTTTATATTTTTGTTCATACACAGTACCAGTCAAAAGTTTGGACACACCTACTCATTCAAGGGTTTTTCTTTATTTTTACTATTTTCTACATTGTAGAATAATAGTGAAGACATCAAAACTTTGAAATAACACATAATGGAATCATGTAGTAACCAAAAAAGTGTTCAACAAATCAAAATATATTTTTGATTTTAGATTCTTCCTTGATGACAGCTTTGCACGTTGGCTGCTTTTCCTTCACTCTGCGGTCCAACTCATCCCAAACCATCTCAATTGGGTTGAGGTCTGGTGATTGTGGAGGCCAGGTCATCTGATGCAGCACTCCATCCTTCTTGGTCAAATAGCCCTTACACAGCCTGGAGGTGTGTTGGGTCATTGTCCTGTTGAAAAACAAATGATAGTCCCACTAAGCGTTAAACAGATGGGATGGCGTATCGCTGCAGAATGCTGTGGTAGCCATGCTGGTTAAGTGTGCGTTGAATTCTAAATAAATCACTGACAGTGTCACCAGCAAAGCACCCCCACACCATCACACCTCCTCCTCAATGCTTCACGGTGGGAACCACACATGCAGAGATCATCCGTTCACCTACTCTGCGTCTCACAAAGACACGGCGGTTGGAACCAAAAAAGGACAGATTTCCACCGGTCTAATGTCCAGTGTTTCTTGGACCAAGCAAGTTTCTTCTTCTTATTGGTGTCCTTTAGTAGTGGTTTCTTTGCAGCAATTCGACCATGAAGGCCTGATTCACGCAGTCTCCTCTGAACAGTTGATGTTGAGATCTGTTACTTGAACTCTGTGAAGCATTTATTTGGGCTGCAATTTTTGAGGCTGGTAACTCTAATGAACTTATCCTCTGCAGCAGAGGTAACTCTGGGTCTTCCTTTCCTGTGGCGGTCCTCATGAGAGCCAGTTTCATCATAGCGCTTGATGGTTTTTGCGACTGCTCTTGAAGAAACTTTCAAAGTTCTTGAAATTTTCCGGATTGTCTGACCTTCATGTCTTAAAGTAATGATGGACTGTCATTTCTCTTTGCTTATTTGAGCTATTCTTCCCATAATATGGACTTGGTCTTTTACCAAATAGGGCTATCTTCTGTATACCATCCCTACCTTGTCACAACACAACTGATTGGCTCAAACGCATTAAGAAGGAAAGAAATTCCACAAATTAACTTTTAACAAGGCACACCTGTTAATTGAAATGCATTCCAGGTGACTACCTCATGAAGCTGGTTGAGAGAATGCCAAGAGTGTGCAAAGCTGTCATCAAGGCAAAGGGTGGCTAAATTAAAGAATCTCAAATATATATAATTTAAAATATATTTTGATTTGTTTAACACTTTTTTGGTTACTACATGATTCCATATGTGTTTTTTCATAGTTTTGATGTCTGCACTATTATTTTACAATTTAGAAAATATTAAAAATAAAGAAAAATCCTGGAATGAGTAGGTGTCCAAACTTTTGACTGGTACTGTATATACAGTTGAAGTCGGAAGTTTACATACACTTAGGTTGGAGTCATTAAAACTCGTTTTTCAACCACTCCACAAATGTCTTGTTGACAAACTATAGTTTTGACAAGTCGGTTAGGACATCTACTTTGTGCATGACAAGTAATTTTTCCAACAATTGTTTACAGATAGATTATTTCACTTATAATTCACTGTTTCACAATTCCAGTGGGTCAGAAGTTTACATACACTAAGTTGACTGTGCCTTTAAACAGCTTGGAAAATTCCAGAAAATGATGTCATGGCTTTAGAAACTTCTGATAGGCTAATTGACATCATTTGAGTCAATTGGAGGTGTACCTGTGGATGTATTTCAAGGCCTACCTTCAAACTCAGTGCCTCTTTATTTGACATCATGGGAAAATCAAAAGAAATCAGCCAAGACCTCAGAAAAGAAATTGTAGACCTCCACAAGTCTGGTTCATCCTTGGGAGCAATTTCCAAACGCCTTAAGGTACCATGTTCATCTGTACAAACAATAGTACGCAAGTATTTACACCATGGGACCACGCAGCCATCATACCACTCAGGAAGGAGACGCGTTCTGTCTCCTAGAGATGAACGTACTTTGGTGCGAAAAGTGCAAATCAATTCCAGAACAACAACAAAGGACCTTGTGAAGATGCTGGAGGAAACAGGTATAAAAGTATATATATCCACAGTAAAACAAGTCCTATATCGACATAACCTGAAAGGCAGCTCAGCAAAGAAGAAGCCACTGCTCCAAAACCGCCATAAAAAAGCCAGACTACGGTTTGCAACTGCACATGGGGACAAAGATCGTACTTTTTGGAGAAATGTCCTCTGGTCTGATGAAACACAAATAGAACTGTTTGGCCATAATGACCATCGTTATGTTTGGAGGAAAAAGGGGGTTGCTTGCAAGGCGAAGAACACCATCCCAACCGTGAAGCACGGGGGTGGCAGCATCATGCTGTGGGGGTGCTTTGCTGCAGGAGGGACTGGTGCACTTCACAAAATAGATGTCATCATGAGGAAGGAAAATTATGTGGATATATTGAAGCAACATCTCAAGACATCAGTCAGGAAGTTAAAGCTTGGTCGCAAATGGGTCTTCCAAATGGACAATGACCCAAAGCATACTTCCAAAGTTGTGGCAAAATGGCTTAAGGACAACAAAGTCAAGGTATTGGAGTGGCCATCATAAAGCCCTGACCTCAATCCTATAGAACATGTGTGGGCAGAACTGAAAAAGCGTGTGCGAGCAAGGAGGCCTATAAACCTGACTCAGTTACACAAGCTCTGTCAGGAGGAATGGGCCAAAATTCACCCAACTTATTGTGGGAAGCTTGTGGAAGGCTACCCGAAGCGTTTGACCCAAGTTAAACAATTTAAAGGCAATGCTACCAAATACCAATTGAGTGTATGTAAACTTCTTACCCACTGGGAATGTGATGAAAGAAATAAAAGCTGAAATAAATAATTCTCTCTACTATTATTCTGACGTTTCACATTCTTAAAATAAAGTGGTGATCCTAACGGACCTAAGACAGGGAATTCTTACAAGGATTAAATGTCAGGAATTGTGAACTGAGTTTAAATGTATTTGGCTAAGGTGTATGTAAACTTCTGACTTCAACTGTATATACTGTTGTTGTTGTTTTTTTGGGGGGGGGGCTCAAATCGGTCTCTGAACTTACTGTTGAGAGTTAGTATAGTAGAATACACTAGGTGCAATTTCGAAATTTG